CAGAGGATGGATGATCTTGAGCACGAGGCTAGCCTGGGCTACATAGCAAGACTCTGTCTTTCTAACCAAAACAGAAGAGCCTGGAGATAGGGAAGACCCACACAGAGCAAAGTTGAAACACCTTACTTACTCCCGCTATGTCAGGAGCTACAGATTTAAGTCTCAGGAAAATGGGCTTGTTAGAGTGATGTCTATGTCACAGGAAGCCAGGAGAGCCAGCAGAGCCAGGGTCACATTCCAGAAGGTCATCAGAAGCAGGTAGAGGGCCCTTAAGTGGTGATTCAGAGCTCGCAGTAGGAGATAATCCTAACCTCGATTCACTGGCATTGGTTACGAGGTCCTCAAGCATCTCTAGGCGGCAGAAGCAGGAGGTGTTAGCCCCTGTGGATGCTTCTCTACCAGGTTCACTTCTACATTCTTTGTCTTGTTTTTGAATTTTAAGTCAGTGTTATTAAAGTATATATTTTAATTATTTCATGTTTTCCTTTTTTATTTTTGTTTAAATTAGAAACAAGCTTGCTTCACATGTCAATCCTAGTTCTCTCTCCCTCCTCTCCTCCCCCCCAACCCCTCCAGTTCCCTACCCTATCCTCCTCCATGGGGGATCTCCAAAGTCTGTCATATCCAGGGCAGGGCCTTGGACCTCCCTCATGTGTCCAGGCCGAGAGAGCATTCCTCCATGTGGAATGGGCTCCCAAAGTTCATTCATATGCCAGGGATACTATGATCTACTACCCAAGGCCCCATAGATTGTCTGAGTCTCCTCACTGATACCCAAATTTAGGGGGTCTGGATAAGTCCCATGTTGGCCTCTCAGCCATCAGCCTGGGGTCCATGAGCTCCCCCTTGTTCAGATCAGCAGTTTCTGTGGGTTTCACCAGTCCGGTTTTGACCCCTTTGCTCATCACTCCTCCCTCTCTGCAACTGTTCCAGAAGTTCAGTTCAGTGTTTAGCTGTGGGTGTCTGCTTCTGTTTCCATCAACCACTGGATGAAGGCTCTAGGATGGCATATAAGGTAGTCATGAATTTTATTATTGGGAAAGGGCATTTAAGGTAGCCTTCCCACTATTGCTTAGATTGCCAGTTGGTGTTATCCTTGTAGATCTCTGGAAATCTCACCAGTGCCAGATCTTTCCTCCAACCTATAGCGACTCCATTATGGTTTCTCTCATCCTGCTCTCCTCCATTCTTCCCTTGACTCAATCTTCCTGCTCCCCCATGTCCTCCTCTCTCCTATTCTTCTCCCCACCTCTCTTTACCAGCTCCTCCCCTCTCCCCATGCTCCCTATCCGCTCAAGAGATCCTGTCCCATTCCCCTTCTCTGGGGGTACCATGCACATCTCCTAGGGTCCTCCCTGTTTCCCAGACTCTTTGGGAGTGGGATTGTAGGCTGGCACAGGCAGGAAACCCGCTTCCCCTGAACTTCTGACTTCATCTATTCCAGGGCCCAAACGATGTGGGCTTCTAAAAATGTTCCTTACAGCCATTTCTAATTCCTTGCTCCACCTCAGCAGCCATTTATATACACTTATTTTCTGCAGTGGTTAAAGAGTCCCTAAAGGGCATCATACAGCTGTAGTTTAAAGAAAACAAAACAAAAAACACCATGGTTAGTTATCAGTATTGAAAGCAAAACCAGGAGGCTGTCAGGGCTGGAGGTTTTCGGTCAGTGTGAAAGGAGGTGTAAGCTGTTCATTTTCAAGGCCACTGGTGATTTCTCATGAAATCTATAGTCTCAGGCTACCTAAGGTTGCAAAGGGTAGGGTGCTTGCTGTGCAAACATGAGGACATGAGTTACAATCCAAATGGTTCAATACAACCTACATCTATAAATAACCCCAGTGCTATGTGTGTAGAGGGGTGTGTGTGTGTGTGTAGATGTGGATTCTGGAGCTCGCTGGCCAGTTAGTCTAGGTGAATTGATATCCAGTGAGAAAAGAGAAAAGGCACGATCGAGGACATACAACATCAATTTCTGGTTCACACACACACACACACACACACACACACACACACACACACACACCAATCTACAACCTTCCCACCCCCATATGGGATACCCATGGTCCAGTAAAAGGCAGATGAGACACAATGCCCTAAGGAAAGGACATGGAACATTTGACCCTTACTGTTGTTTTCTTGTCTTTTCATTTTTCTTTGCTTTTATAGTAAGGTGAGTAGGTTATGGGCTCAAACAGGTTCATTCCAAACTGTCTTTTTCCCCCTCACTCAATTTAAAATCTTTTTGTCTGAGCACATTTACTCTGCACAAGACCGTGTTCATGAGGGCCATCTACAGATGACAGCTTGTGGCATGTGGGGGCTAATTAAATTAAGTAGATATTTCCCATCATTAGTGCTTGTCCATCTCCCTGTCTGCCTGGCTTTTATGCTGCTCCTGGCACTTTATCTGTGCCTGACACCTCTCAGCTGTGTGTCGACAGGTGTGGGTAGCCAGCTCCCTCAACTTCTGAAACATTATTTTTACACGTTTATATATACTCTATCTGTATGAGTGTTCCCTGCATGTATGTTTGTGTACATGTGTGCCTGGCTGCCTGACGAGGGCACCAGGTCCCCTGGAAATGGAGTTAGAGATGGTTGTGAAGCACCATGTGGGTGCTGGGAACTGAACATTGGTCCTCTGGAAGTGCAGCCAGTGCTCTTAACCACTAAGCCATCTCTCCAGTCCCTGGAACGTAAGCTATCTGGAGGTAGGATCGGTATCACTCATCACCGTCTGTTCCGTAGCACTTAGCATGATGCGCTGCATACAGGACAAGCTGAATAAAAAACTGTGCGTAGAATGTGTGTGATGCAGACCACAGGTTCACCAGGTGGTGGCTGGTGGGGACAAGTGCAGCAGCTCAGGAAGACATAACTAGCTATGGCTAAAGATCGGGTGGCACCACCGACTGATAAGGCTGAAAGCCAAATTCCCCACGTCTAGTCAATGAACCACCAGCTGGTCCGTGTCAAGGAGTTTGCTGACATATGGAAGCAGAGGGATGGGCTTGATTAATGACAGGAGGGAGGGGCACTTAAATCAGACTTCAACCTAGATGGATGACATCACAGGGACAATGTCATGTAGAAAGGGAATTCTCGATGGCTCCCAGAGCATCAGCAAGTATGGACTGAGGCTACAAATAACCTTGTCAAGGAGGAAGGGATGGTAAGTTGTCCCTTCAAAGAGGGGAGGTGGTGGAGAGAATGGCAGGGTTAGGGCACTATTAAGGGCGAGAGAAGGGAGACCAACGCTATATGATGTGGCCTCCTTTTCCTGATGAAGTAGAAGGAAGGCATCCAGGGTCTTGGGCTCATGTGGAGTAGTGAGGCTACTGAAGTCAATGAGTCTGCCACTGAACCAAATGATCAATGAGTTCAGAGGACAGCGGTAACTGTGAGGAGGAATTTAATAGCATCCAATTATTACTCTGCACTAACACCAGCACTGTTACAAAGAACCAAACCCCTGAGGGGCTTAAAATGGACAAAATATTCTGGAGGCTCAAAAGCCCAGTCATAGCAGGGCTGGCTGTCTGAAGCCTCCAGGAGAAACTCCTCCCATCCTGAGGCTGGCGGGCCTGCTGGCTTGTAGCTGTTCCACTTACCAGTCACCCTGTCAGTTTCCACACTGCCTGCCTTCCGCATCCACACTCCCCCTTTAAAGAACACTAGTCTTTGTGGGTTAGGAATCCCATTTTAATTTGATTCCCTCCACAAAAGGTCTTATTCCCAACTAAGGCCAGATTCCAAGGTACTGGGGGCTAGGGCCTCAACCAACAGATCATTTTTAGGGGACACAATTGTGACTATTCCAGATGTAGGTCCATGAATACAATCAGAAGGAAAGATGCTAATACAGTAGTTCTCAACCAGTGGGTCATGACTGCTTTGGGGGGCAGGGGGCACATCTCAGATATCCTGTGTATCAGATATTTACACTATGATTCATAACAGTAGCAAAATTATGAACTAGGGACAAAATAACTCTATGGCTGGGGGTCACCCCAACGTAAAGAACTGCCCAGGCTGGAGGGAGGCAAGTAAGAATCCAGATGCTGCAGATCAAGTTTGGGTGGCAGAGTACAGGTGAAGGGGTTACAGGTGGGAGGAACAGGGACAAGCTGGTTCAACAGGGGTCACGGTAGGAGGCAAAGGCAGAGAAAGGCACCTCAAATCTAAGGTCTTGGATAGTTTGCCCTAGATTCTCCCAGATTGAACTCAGGGGAAAGTGGGTTAGGTTACCAAGTTTGTCCACTGCACAGAAGACATCAATGGAAGGGACCGAGGTCAACTATAGCTAGAAGCTTCAGTTGTCAAGTAAGAGAGGAGGACATCATAGTTTAGGAGACAAGAGAGTGGGGAAGGGATAGAAGAATGGAAAGCCAAGAGTTCCCAGGATGGAGACAGTCATAGAGGAATCTAAGGAGGGGGAGTTTACAAGCTCTCACGGGGGACAGGGACTCAGGGACAGGAATGTCTCTTTGAGCAAGGATTGACACTGTAATAGAGGCATTAGGGGAAGAAGAATGAAGGCAAAATTAGGAGCCAAAAAAATGAACAAGATGCTTCAACAGCAAATAGTCATTCCTTGGTTGCCGCTGGATTTATCCTGAATCTATGAAGGAATGGCTGAGAGAAGCCTGCCTCTGATAACCCAGAGTGCCAGTCCTGACTTTTCATGATGACCCAAGTCAGTGCTGCTAGCCTGGAGTGCCCTGGCTGAGGTTAGATGTGGTGAACGCAGTGTGGGTTGGGGTAGCAGCAGCTGAGCTTAGGCGAGGTACTTAGCTTTACCTCCTTCCTTATAGCATAGGGATAATGGTGAGCCCTACCTCACAGGGCTCAAGATGCTGGCACAACACATGTCTCTGTGAGTAATGACTGCTATTATTACACTCATCATAGTCTGATGGAAGAGGGCTAAAATGTGCTGTGTAGAATTAAAGGCAAGATCCTGTCCCTTCTTTTCATCAAAGAAAAATGTCCTGAGATTACTTTGGCATCTTTATTTCTACAGGCTCTGATAGAAGAGTACAACCTTGATTAAGAGGAACCCCTGCACTCAAAGGCAGCATCAATACACAGCAGGTAAAGCCCCTGACCCTCTCCATCTGACAGACGGCACTGACTTCCATCAGCTCTGCACTTCAAGTTCCATCTCTTCTCCTTTCCTGCTTCAATAGAAAGGTTTGCTCTCAAGTTGTCTGTGTGTGCACACGGGCGCACACACCTATACCAAAGGTTCATTTTACATATCTGACAATGTCTGGGGAAAAGCTATTCCAATACGCCAAAGAAGTCCACATGGACCTCACACCCAGGGTCAAGTTTCTCCGCAGAAGCCCCCACATTCTGTAAGTCATCATGGGTTCGGACAGTCAGAAATCTATTGAGGCTGTGGTCTGGAGACCTGTGCTGGACTTCTCCCAGAGGGAAAGAGGGCAAGGTGCAGTGGGAAGAGGCAGTGGGAATGTGTGAGCACCCAGCACCCAGTCACCAGGATATCCGCACTGGTCAGCGACTATGAAGCACAAGCTCTCAGGACATGCAGCTTGTGGCCCTGTGTGCCCGGGCAGGGCAGGACACCATTCCCCCTCCCCCGCGTGCTGTAGACTGATTCCCCAGCTATCATTTCTTCCATCACCCTCACTAGATATTGGGAACGTTTTACACTCTGTGCCCAGGACTCCACAGAGCCCTGAAAGCTCATTAAGAGATTTAGCTGGCGGCCTTAGCCCAATCATTCGCCACTTAGTTCCCTGGCCCTGGGCACCTGGATGGGTGGTGTCTTGACATGCAGCGCATGGTGGCTTTCAGGCTACTGCATGGCTTGCTGTGGGAAAAGGAGAAGATGGAGAGCAGAGGCCGAGTTCCATCTGTCCGGGCTGAACGCTGGAGTGGCCCACACAGTCCCAAGTCCCATCCTGTCCCGGCTGAATGCTGAGGTGGCCCACACAGTCCTTGAGCAGGGCCAGCCTGGGGTCCTTTAGGCTGCAGTCTTTGCTGAATTCCGTGCCTGGTGTTCTTGCTTAGCTCTCTCCCTCTGCTCCTGTTCCCTCTGGATCAACTGCACCAGCTCCAAGTGCCACTCACGCAACTTCTGCCCATAAGCGGCCAGGTCCTCGGCCTCACATGCTGGGAGCTTTTCTTTAACAAGCTGGGTGGTCAGAGTCAAAAGACTTTCTGATTCAACTCTGCCCAACTCCAGCAGTTTAGAATGAGAGGCCTGTTGGAAACAAAGAAAAATAAATAAAGATAAGGGAGCAGGTGGGAGAAAAAAAGAGGAAATGAGAAGCAATTAGGTTCTCCACCAAGGAGCCACACAATCTGCTTGCAAGAAAAGACGCTTTGTTGGAAGCTCCAGGCATCTTCTCCAGGTGCAGCTGCCTTGAGCTGGTTTCCCCAGCTCAGCAGTTACGCAAAGACGAGGGCAGCAGCACGGGTAATCATACCACCTTGACTCACCGAGTGCAGCTCTGCAGCCCCTACTCCCTGCGTCATTGTCAGTTCTTATTTAAACCACAAGGACAGCAGAGGTGTAATCCACATTTCCACTCGGGCTTGCTCCTAATCAAGCAGTGAGCTCAAAGTAACAGAATTCTAGTTTGCAAACAAGATGGCAGAGACTTCTGAAACCAGAGCCAGCTCATCCGGTCTTCATTTAAGTGACTTCAGTTGAGTCCCTACCTTTGGCTCCTTTCAACAGATGGAACTCATTTCAGGAATTTCTCACTAATGCTAACCAGCTTTCTGAGTGCAAGCACAGGGCAGGCCTCCACCTGCTGGGCTCCCCTGCAGATTGGCCATTACCTCCTGCCTGCTTACAGTTCCATCTGAGACGGCTGCCTGGTTGGGTAGCACAGTATTCCCAAAGAAGTACTAAACACATTCATCTACCTAAGTGCTTCAAGATGTACATCACCAAGAGGGCTTGTAGGGCCCCAGCTGCAGCTTAGTGGCAGATGTCCATGTTCTCAACCCGAGATGACGTAGGGTACAGGACAAGGCCTGGCCAGCAAGAATGGTGGAAGGAGGCAAGGCCCATGAGCTCCAGGGACAGACAGCTCTAATTACAGAGAACTAAGTCCCAAACAGATTACCTTAGACTAATGAAAATCAGGTAACAGGAAGAAAAGGAAATAGAACCTGAAAATGATTTCTTTCTGACATCATTTTCCAGGTAGTCTGAAGCCAAAGAGATAGCCAGGGTTACCAAGAGGAAATCTCAACTGTGAGGGAGCAGAGCTTGGTCCAAAGCCAGCTTCAGTTATGGACAGGTTCAGTGCTGTGTCATGTAAACCAGACTCTTCCCCCCCAGGCGTCCTGTGAGGATAAGGGAAGGGCAGTGGGGCCCAACACAGCTAGCAAGCTACAAGTATTGTTTCTGTCCTTTCCTGAGTTTTCATAAAGGGTCCTGTGGAAGTATGAGGGCCGAGAAGCCAATGAAGGCACAGGTTTCCATCCTTTGATGCCAAAACCCGGGAACTGTTAAAGAGAACATGGTGGATGAGAATCTGTAGGGGAAGGAGATTGCTTTCTTCAAGCTTTGTACACAGACAGGCGAAGCCAAGAGGGAAGGAAGGGCCATGTATAAGCTCTCCACTTCATTTGTCCTCAGGGTATGATGGGAACATTACTACTTTATTTAGTTTCAGATTACAGAGGGGAAGCTGGGCAGTGACTTCCCTTACAGAAGTACCAGGAGAAACAACGCCTAAAATACAATGGGGCCCCATAACCATAAGGGGAAAGGCTGCCCATTGCTGCTTCAGAAGACACAGACCTAGGTGTAAGAACCCAGCAACAGCTCTCCCTACCCAGGTCCAGCAGACTAGCTGGCATGGGTGGGAAAATTTTCTGCTATGCAATGACCTTATAATTAGAAAGTGTTTTTTTCTTTTTGTATTAAATAGACAAGAAGCAAGGCAGGGAGGAGGACCATGATTTTCTTCCCTTAGGACACAGAGTTCAAAGCCAGTTTGAGTGCTCAGAGCTGTTCTGGAAACGTGTTTGCGTGTCATGTAGTGTCAGGCAGTGTCTCTATTGGCCCCCTGAATAGCACGAAGCTGCCATCCACGAGCCACAAAGGGTGCCTGAATCTTATCACTGCATGCTGAAAACATGACTAGTGTCTAACTGGGTTTCCTTTGGTGTAGTGTAGAGAAATGACCAGACACCTTCCACACCGAGTGGGAGTCAGGCCATTGTTAGGAGGAGGCAAGGGATCACTGGGGATGGTGTGTGCCCTAGGGAACAAGACTGGGACTGATTAGCTCAAGTACAAACAGAAAAATTCCACCTGTTTCTCTTAAGGCCACAGACTGCGGGAAGAAACACAGATGCAATTCTTGGTGTGAGTTTTTGATGCTGCTGTGTGTGACTGATGCAGGAAAAGACTGCCTACCCATCACCAGAGAGAAGAATGTTCATCTAGGGCTGGGAGAGGCTCAACTTCTGCTCTGAATCACCTTAAATCGCTCCAGGTATTGGGGAAGCTTGGAATGCTCTGGTTCCTCGGTGTCTAGCTGCTCCACCAGGTTTGCTGAGCCCAAACTGCCTTCACCTTCCTGGGGTTGTGTCTCTGAGGCCTGGTCAGCTGGAGATGTCACCTGGTCAGCTGGAGACATCACCTCCTTCAGGACTGCGTCCAGCACACTGAGCTGTGGGGCACAAAAGGTCAGCATGACATCATTTGTTATGGGCTTGACTTTGTGAAGGGCAGAGACAAAGAAAGAGGAAAGGGGGACCCTCAAGACTGAAGATAATCTTGTGGGTACTGGGGTTCCTGAATAACTAGGGGTTACTGGAATGGCTCAACATGCATGTGGTGTGGAGTTCAGTCCCCAGTGCTGCACGTGGAAAGATAAGGAAACCCAACAATTATGTTTTGTGCATTAGCAATGTCCTCTCAGACAGCACGAGGAGCTCAGTACAAAACAGAAGCTACAGACATGGGCTAAGGAGTGCATGAGCATAATGGCAAATGAAGTGTGCTTTTAATTAACGAGGTAGGAATCCAGGAATTATGTTTGATGGGCATTAAAGGGCCTCCTCCACTTTCATGTCTTTCTTTGGAGTCAGTCTGGAATTGGGACAAAGGGAAAGAAAAGACCACCACAGACCACAGGCAACAAAAGGCTACTCTGAATGCACATTAAAGTCGCTGGCTATAGGCAACACCCCCCACCCCCAAGATCCAGCTCACAGAGTAGTATAAATTAGGGATCAACCTAATCCACACAAGCTGCTGGCCAAGGCCATAGACGCACATAGGAAATTCACTTTTAATGAGGGGTTCTGTGACTTAGGTAGCAAGCAACTGAAAACAGGGAGGTTCCTTTTGTTCGCTCTCTTACTCCTCCATCTCCACTGTTTGCACACCTCCCTTAACCCGTGCAGGGCTTGGTCTGTCCCAGGGACGAGGAGACAGCAGCAAGGCCTGCACAAACACCTGCGTGGATACAGAGTAACCCAGCAACATCACAGTACAACAAAGCACCAATGCTACCCCAAGGCTTTACTGCTTCTTATACTTATATATCACTTTCTTGCTGACATTCAAGTACATTCCAATAAATTAGAATAAAAAGAATGCAAAGTTGGCTAAAATTAGGAGGAATTATCCCTGGTGAAGGATTTGTGCATAATTTTGTGTTTTCAATTAGCAACACTGGATACAGCTAGCTTCAAATACACACATTTAGAAGTGCGTATCCTTGGACATTTACAAGTGTGTATCCTTGGTTATAATGACTGGAGAAGAATTCAAAGGACATAGTCAGCATAAGGTGCCACAGTAGGATCTGGACTGAGTGACTAAAATGAAAGCTTCGGGTGAGCCTCAGTGTGTTCAGGGTCAAGTCCACACAGATGAGTAGCTCCAAGGCAACCTTTCATCTTGGTAAAACAGTCTCTGGGCCTCTCTCTGGATGGAGCAGCAGGGCCGGGAGGGGACACTACAGCTCTGTGTTTGGTGTAAGGCTATGTTTCCTAGTCTGGCTATGCCTGGTGAACTCAGTGTCAGGGGGTTTAAGTGACTAGAAATGAACTTTGGCACAGGTAGGACAGGCAAAGTGAACACCTTAGACCAATGAAAGGGCCCTGTGACATAGATTCAACATCACACACGTACCACAGGACAGTCCAATGAGAAGGAAGGAAGACCTCCAGTCCCCAAGTTCTATGTGGCTAATGAAGACTGAGTGTGTGTGTGTCTGTGTCTGCACGTGGACTTCAGAAGACAATCTCAAGTGTCACTCTTGGGCATGCCCTGCTTTTTTGTTTGAGATGGAGCCTCTTGGCTTGGAACCTCACTGAGTAGTCTAGGCTAGCCAGCCAGTAAGCTTCCAGCATGTCTCTCTGCCTCCCACTCCGCCATTGCTGGGGATGTAGCATGCACCTTGTAGGGGGCTCTGGGGATCTGAACTCAGGTACTTAAACTTGTGAGGCAAATACCAACAGCCAAGGATTATAAAGAAAATTACTCTCTAGTCTCTCCAGGCTAGAGGGATAAATCCACCAAAATTATTCAATCTTTCTCTTATACCACCTTAATTCCTTTTGGATGGGGGAAGGGATGGTGAAGAGGATAGGATTTATTGAGCTGAGTTTGAATTTCAGGGAAACGGATAGTTCTCCTCTTATATAACAGATATGAATCAACAATAATCTTATTTTCCATTGCCTTTTTGTCAGCAACATTGAAAATGTTTGCAGTTTCTTTTCATCCTTTTTAACAGAATAAATACCAATTCTATACAAATATAGAGAGCAGGGGAAGGGGAAAGCCAAAGATACAAATTCAAACCACCCAGAAGAACAGCGCTGGTTCCATCTGAGTGGGGGTGCAGGAACATACCGCTTCTCTACATAGCTTGAGGTCTCCAGGGGAGGAGGCCACCTTCTCCATCACTTGAAGGGCTCTGTCAAGGTAGCCTGGTGTCCATATCAGGGGCATGTCTCGGTATACAGCCTGCAGTCCACGCTGTAGTTCCACCTTCCCTGTGGCCAAAAGAACCATAAGACTGCTTAGCTATGCCCCCAGCATGTCTGCAGCCAAAGGCTTGGAGGACACCAGCAAACACCAGCCTAGATGAGGAACGCACCCTGCACATTTTAAGTTCAAGTTTTGTGAACTTGCTTTACATGTTTCATCAGGCTGGAGATCCACCAGAGCCCATGAAGCACTGGGCTGAGGAATTTTGAGAGACTGATAGTTCTTTCTACACAAGAAAATGGTAATACTATTTTTGTTTCAAGGCCAAACCTTCTCAAGAAAAAGAAACCTCACAACTTTCCAACTGTGGAAACTCTATGAACATCCGACGACTTTCCCCTTCCAGGAAATGTGTGATATTTTTGAAAGATGCCAAATATCCAATCTATTGTCTTCATGAAAAGAGAAAGGAACAAACAGACAAACAAAGACAAATCCCCAAATCTCCTTTTCTTTGAGTATTATCAGTTCTTAAGTCTTCTGGCTCACAAGGCCTGAATTTCCTCTGGGTCCCTCAAACTGTCATGCAGGCTGTGGTCCTGGGAAGTGCAGAGTCTATGCACCAGGAGACAGAGCCTTTCCACAATGATGAGCAAAGTCACCTTGAGCAGCTGAGTCTTAAGTCTGCCTCCACCCATCTTTCCTGGAAAGGAGGATTTGGGAAGCTGTAGGAGGATGCTAATAGACAAAGCTCATCAGGAGATGGCTAATTTTAGATCTTAAGGTGCTTGGGCTGCACAGGGCTCATGCTGGGTTGCCAGCCTGAGTTGAATGAGGCTGCAGGGCAGGATACAATGAGAGCAGGGATGGAGTGGGGGTGTCTGATGGCACGGCTGTCAATTACAAGGGACCAGTGCTTCTACCACAAACAACAGCCAAGCACATTTTCTCAGTCTTGCCACTTTCTAAACGATCCATGTAGGAGAGTAGTCCTGGACATTAATCTGAAGATGAAAGGGGGAAAATGCAAATAAATATCTAAATAGGAAGCAAATAAGCAAAATATGATTTTAAAGAAGAGCCGCAGGTTGGGTGTGGTGTCATACACCTGCAGTAACAGTGCCTAGGGAGAGGACACAGGGAGGACACAGGGAGGACACAGGGAGGACACAGGGAGGACACAGGGAGTGGACACAGGGAGGACACAGGGAGTGGACACAGGGAGGACACAGGGAGTGGACACAGGGAGTGGACACAGGGAGTGGACACAGGGAGTGGACACAGGGAGTGGACACAGGGAGTGGACACAGGGAGGGACACAGGGAGTGGACACAGGGAGAGGACACAGGGAGTGGACACAGGGAGTGGACACAGGGAGTGGACACAGGGAGTGGACACAGGGAGTGGACACAGGGAGTGGACACAGGGAGGACACAGGGAGTGGACACAGGAGAGGACACAGGGAGAGGACACAGGGAGTGGACACAGGAGGACACAGGGAGTGGACACAGGGAGTGGACACAGGGAGTGGACACAGGGAGTGGACACAGGGAGTGGACACAGGGAGTGGACACAGGGAGTGGACACAGGGAGGACACAGGGAGTGGACACAGGGAGTGGACACAGGGAGTGGACACAGGGAGTGGACACAGGGAGGACACAGGGAGTGGACACAGGGAGTGGACACAGGGAGTGGACACAGGGAGTGGACACAGGGAGGACACAGGGAGTGGACACAGGGAGTGGACACAGGGAGTGGACACAGGGAGTGGACACAGGGAGTGGACACAGGGAGGACACAGGAGTGGACACAGGAGGACACAGGTGGACACAGGGAGTGGACACAGGAGTGGACACAGGAGTGGACACAGGGAGGACACAGGGAGTGGACACAGGGAGTGGACACAGGGAGTGGACACAGGGAGTGGACACAGGGAGTGGACACAGGGAGTGGACACAGGAGTGGACACAGGGAGTGGACACAGGGAGTGGACACAGGGAGGACACAGGGAGTGGACACAGGAGTGGACACAGGGAGTGGACACAGGGAGTGGACACAGGAGGACACAGGGAGTGGACACAGGGAGTGGACACAGGAGGACACAGGAGTGGACACAGGGAGTGGACACAGGAGGACACAGGAGGACACAGGGAGTGGACACAGGGAGGACACAGGGAGTGGACACAGGGAGTGGACACAGGGAGTGGACACAGGGAGGACACAGGGAGGACACAGGGAGGACACAGGGAGTGGACACAGGGAGTGGACACAGGGAGTGGACACAGGAGGACACAGGGAGTGGACACAGGGAGTGGACACAGGAGTGGACACAGGGAGTGGACACAGGGAGTGGACACAGGAGGACACAGGGAGTGGACACAGGGAGTGGACACAGGAGGACACAGGAGGACACAGGGAGGACACAGGGAGTGGACACAGGAGGACACAGGAGTGGACACAGGGAGTGGACACAGGGAGTGGACACAGGGAGTGGACACAGGGAGTGGACACAGGAGTGGACACAGGGAGGGACACAGGGAGGACACAGGGAGTGGACACAGGGAGGACACAGGGAGTGGACACAGGGAGGACACAGGGAGGACACAGGGAGTGGACACAGGGAGTGGACACAGGAGTGGACACAGGGAGGACACAGGAGTGGACACAGGGAGGACACAGGGAGTGGACACAGGAGTGGACACAGGGAGTGGACACAGGGAGGACACAGGGAGTGGACACAGGGAGTGGACACAGGGAGAGGACACAGGGAGTGGACACAGGGAGTGGACACAGGGAGGACACAGGGAGTGGACACAGGGAGGACACAGGGAGTGGACACAGGGAGGACACAGGAGTGGACACAGGAGTGGACACAGGAGTGGACACAGGGAGTGGACACAGGGAGTGGACACAGGAGGACACAGGAGTGGACACAGGGAGTGGACACAGGGAGTGGACACAGGGAGTGGACACAGGAGTGGACACAGGGAGTGGACACAGGGAGTGGACACAGGGAGGACACAGGGAGTGGACACAGGGAGTGGACACAGGGAGGACACAGGGAGTGGACACAGGGAGGACACAGGGAGTGGACACAGGGAGTGGACACAGGGAGTGGACACAGGGAGTGGACACAGGGAGTGGACACAGGAGGACACAGGGAGTGGACACAGGAGTGGACACAGGGAGGACACAGGGAGTGGACACAGGGAGTGGACACAGGGAGTGGACACAGGGAGTGGACACAGGGAGTGGACACAGGGAGTGGACACAGGAGTGGACACAGGGAGGACACAGGAGTGGACACAGGGAGGACACAGGAGTGGACACAGGGAGGACACAGGGAGTGGACACAGGGAGGACACAGGGAGTGGACACAGGGAGTGGACACAGGGAGTGGACACAGGGAGGACACAGGGAGTGGACACAGGGAGGACACAGGGAGTGGACACAGGGAGTGGACACAGGGAGGACACAGGGAGTGGACACAGGGAGGACACAGGGAGTGGACACAGGGAGTGGACACAGGAGGACAGGAGGACACAGGGAGTGGACACAGGGAGGACACAGGGAGTGGACACAGGGAGGGACACAGGGAGTGGACACAGGGAGTGGACACAGGAGGACACAGGGAGTGGACACAGGGAGTGGACACAGGGAGTGGACACAGGGAGTGGACACAGGGAGTGGACACAGGGAGGACACAGGGAGTGGACACAGGGAGGACACAGGGAGGACACAGGGAGTGGACACAGGGAGTGGACACAGGGAGTGGACACAGGGAGTGGACACAGGGAGTGGACACAGGGAGTGGACACAGGGAGTGGACACAGGGAGTGGACACAGGGAGTGGACACAGGGAGGACACAGGGAGTGGACACAGGGAGTGGACACAGGGAGGACTCAAGTTTGACGCTAGCCTGGGCTATAGCAAGAACTTGTCTCTGAAGGCCAAATCCCAAGGCTGAGGATATAGCTCAGTTGGTAAAGGGCTTGCCTAAGATCTTGGGTTCAACTCAACCATCACGTTAATCAGGCATGCTTATAATTCTAGCACTTAAGAGGCAGAGGCTGGAGGATCAGAAGTTCAAAGTATTCCTCCGTGACTACATAGTGAGTTCAAGGTCAGGTGGAGATGTATGAAACTTTGTCTCAACCAACCAACCACCCCAAACAAACTCTCCAAATAAAACAACAAAATCCTCAAATCAAACTAAACAACAAAAAGAGTGAACACGCATGTTAGCTTGCTAGCCAGTCTGACACACTGAGAGGGACAGTTTCTCAGAAGTTTACATTAGATCCAGCATCCAAGAATCCACACTACATTTTGTTGGCAAAGCTTCAGCAGCAAAGAGCTATACCTTAGAAGGACAGGCAGAAGCAAGGGGCAAAGAAAAGTCACTTTCATGGAGACCTGACTTTAGAAGGGGAGCAGAGTACGAAATAGCACACATCTGATGAATCCCTGTGAACCCCAGGCGTCGAGGCTGCTCTCTGCACCCGCCACCATTGCGCCTGTCTGTACAATCACACGGGACCAACAGGTGACTCCCCCAAGGAAGTGTGCTCTGTTCCCTCACCTGAAACAAAGTCAGAGACACACCTTAACTCTAACTCTCTTTCTTACCTCCAGGACTAAGAGTACTGGCCAATTCTTCTGCTAGAGTGCCAGAACTTTCTTTATGCTTTCCTCTTCCTCACGCTGATCATAAATGAATTTTACTACAGCTAACAGAGCCAGTTCTAACACTGTCACTGGTGACAGGTGTTATAACATCTCTTGGCTGTCCGTAATTGTAAGGCCACTGAGGGTTACTTTGTTGTCTGTACATTTAGGTTATGAATAGTAAATTTTAACGAAGTTTTAATTTTATTGAGATAAAAAGTCATGACACATCTTCTTACAAAGAACAATATTAATAAGGCTCATTTAGCTTACCAAGAAGTGCATAGCCATACAGTTGGGAACTCAAGCCCACTGTGTTCTTTTGTTTTAGGCCTGGAAGCAACAGAGACACACCAAAGTTCCTTTCCTCTTCCCACTGCAACAGAAGACAACAACAGATCATTGTCTATTACAGCCATGGATACTTCAAGTAAAATGCGAACTTTAGAAAAATGTGAATTATTAGAAAAAATCAGAACAGAAAATGCCCTACATGTAGCTAAAAAGAATCCCAGCTGGTAAAATCATGAGGTTGTTTTGGTTTTCTTCTTTGTGCTTCTCCTTATTTTCCATACTTTTGGTAATGAACCGGTGCCTTTTACAGTCAGAGGACCCATACTGACTTGAGAGTATCAGAGATGCCCCACAGGCTGATGGCTTCTTACTACCACTGCTCCAGAGGGAGGGAGTCACCAACAACACAGCAACAATAAGACTGCTTCACAGTGTTAAAGTAAGTACCACCATTAAGTTGCTTTTAGATAGATTTGTGCCTCTTGAAAACAAATTAGGCAATCAGAAACACTTAGTGACTATGTCTTTCAACCTAGGGTATAAAATTGTACTTCAACAAAATTGAAGCCTTTTGAGACATGAAAAGAAAAAAAAAAGGGCAAAGACACAAGCCTTGCTGAGCTGCCACACACCAGTAACAGATGTGACTGGGGCAGTCCTTAGAAAGCAAAGCTCAGAGGAGGGGGCGTGGCAACAACCCAGACAGCAGGAGCTCTAATCCTCCAGACAGAGTCCCACCCAAGGAGGGGGTGGGGGGCTGCAGTCCTTCCCCCACAGCACACATGCTGGCTGGCTGGTCTCTGCCCTGAGAAGCTGGGAGAGAGGCAGAGAAGGGTCTGCAGCTACAACTGTTGCCATGGAGAGAGGCTCTTCGGTTTTAAAGATCTCCTGACCATGCTCATGCGGCACAAGCCCCAGTTCTTGGGATTTCCCTAGACCTTGGAAAACAGTGGATCCCTGGAAAGGGAAATTCCTCATAGGCTTCCCTAGCACAGATAAAGAAGATGTGTTAATTAAGGGCCTAGTCACTTTTCCAATGCAAAACATTCTGGCTTTTGGGGACATGCTGGAGAGCAAAGCCAGGGACTTGCGCCCCGCAACACTGAGCTACACTTCCCAAAGCTGACACTATAATCTAGGCAAGTTTGCTTCTCCCACTGATACCTGAAAATAAACAAGAAGCCTGAAAACCTTTTCTTACACTTATTTTTCAATTTAACTTTGCTTTTGAGAAAAGTTTCACTATGTAGTTCTGGCTAGCCTGGAAGTGTCTACTATGTAGACCAGGCTGGCTTCAAATTTTATTTGTTTTAGTAGGTCTGTGTATAGTTTGGGCACAACAGTGTGAGCACATCTCTCTCTCTGTGTGTGTGTGTGTGTGTGTGTGTGTGTGTGTGTGTGTGTGTGTGTGTGTGTGAGGAGGGGGGATAGATAGGACAGGATGACAACATGCAAAGGTCAGTTCTCTCAGCACCATGTGGATTCTAGGGATCCAATCATGTCATCAGAGTACCTTACCCACTGAACCATCTCACTGTCTGAAGCCTTTTTCTCCCTGAGCAGAAAAGATGAGCTACAGTATAAGGATACAACAGGGAATAGAAACTGAATGAACAGCAAATATACAAGCTGACATGCTGGGACCAAAGTTGACAGGGTCTGAGATGACACAAGATGAGCATCTCTAATCTGAAAATGCAAAACGTTTCAAGCTCTAACACTCTTTGAACTCTGAAATGATACTGCAAGCAGAAAATGCCACATTACATGGAACATTTCATGTACAAATTAAACATAATGCATAAACATGCCTTTAGGGTATGTGTCTAAAGTATACATAAAACATGGATGAAGATTTGGTTCCTTCTCCAATGTATTTAAACAATTTAAACAAATGAACTCCAAAACAAGTTTTGGTCCTAAGCACTTTCGAGCATACTCTCCTGGTAGTGCGGACTGAAGCCGGCACCAGCAAGCATGCCCGTTTTACGCCATGCCTTGCCTATCAGCATCAAGGAAGCCTTCACCTTCTCTCCTCTTCTTCCTTTCACAAACGATACACCCTGAGTCACTATACTCAATGTCTTGTCTGTACACTTCTAAGTCCTCCATTAATCCATTCCAATCTGGCTCCCAGCTGTTTCTTTCTCTATGGAGATAAAAAGAACCACTTATAGCTCTGATGTCATTAAATTCAATGACTGCGTTATTCCTGTGTTATACTACCTTTTCTCCTAGGACATTCTTTCCATGGCTTGTGTGGCCCAACGCACTCCAAATTTTCCTTCTAACTTGTGACTGACACAAATTTGTGTTTATGCATTTGACATAAGTATGCTGATATCTCATACACACACACACATACATACACACACACACACACACACACACACACACACACACACACACACACCCAGATGTTGACTTCCATTTGATTTTCTCTTTGGATCATTTGCACACATTTATATATGGATGTAGAGCTCCAAATGTCTTGTGGTTCAACTGAGAAATCTTTGGACTGCTTCAGGGTATCCCAAGTTTGCAACATGGTCAGGGCCCAATGAAGCATTTCCTCACAAAACCCTGTCTTTCCCCCAGAGTTCCCCTTGCAAACTGAGGCTCTGACATCTGATCCCCACCTCTGCCTGTCTGTATCCAGCTCCTTCTCACCTGACATTTGCCTCACCAGTATCGAGTGGGCACTCTAGTTCCGCCTCCTGTGGCCGCTCCTCTGTCACTAGCTCCTTCAGCCTGTAAGCATCTCTAAACTGGTCTGCCCACAGCTAGCCCTCCCCTTCTCTGACCCACCTCACCTTACAGCTCAGGGAGGACTTCCGAACACAAATCTGATTATAATACCCCCTGTTTAGAACTGTAGGCAACTCCTCACTATTTTTGGATGACAGCAGAATAGCCTAGCATGGCCTATGCTCTCAGTCTTAACTCACTCAAACCTCATGCCCTTGACATTCTCTTTGCTGTAGGGGCATCACCATCATGATCATGGTATTTCCCTGCCAGGTAAGTGACATGGTCCATTTTCTTACAGTCTATTCCCCTGGCCCTATCTGGGTCTCACTAGGTTGCCTAGGTAACCCTGAGCCCACATCTGGGAACTCAAGCAATCCTGTTTCAGCCTCACCACGAGCAGGGGTTACAGACATGTACCACTGTGCCCAGCTTCCTTTAGCACCTTTTCTGCCAGTCTGGCATTTTGCATTTCCTCTTTAACTAGCTTATGATTCATCTTTCAAATACTGACCTTATAAGCACCTCCAAAGTCCCTTTCTAATCAACTGAAAACACAAAGAAAACACTTCAATAAGGGTTTTTCATTGACTTATCTTGCTTTGTATTCATTAGATCATAATTTCATAGCTGCACGCTTCTTTTGCCTACAGGTGTGTATGTGCACCATGTGCATGCCTGGAGTCTGTGGAGGGTGAAACAGGGTAGCTGATCCTCTGGAACTCGAGTTTTAGATGGCTATGAGCACTATGTGGGTGCTGGGGTCTGAACCCAGTCCCTCTGCAAGTGCAAGGTGCTCTTAAGCATTAAGCTATCTCTCCAGCCTTTTGTTTTGTTTTAAAGTGCTAGGCTATAAGCAGAAAATGTCTGATTAACTGCTAAATATACAGTACTTGGCAAGTGATTAAAAAACTTGGTTCAAGCCGGGCGTTGGTGGCGCATGCCTTTAATCCCAGTACTCGGGAGGCAGAGACAGGTGGATCTCTGTGAGTTCGAGGCCAGCCTGGTCTACAGAGCCAGTTCCAGGACAGGCTCCAAACAATACAGAGAAACCCTGTCTCAAAAAACCAAAAAAGAAAAAAAAAAAAACCACACACACCAAAAAACTAGGTTCAATATATACTTAACTTTATTGTGAATATAAGGTATATCACAGGTAAAGCAGAATATTTACGGTCTGCACAATGAGGGCTGGCTTAGATGCCACTTCATCTCTATCCAAACTGAGATTTTCTGATCTGGTACTGAAATTAAGGGGCAATCACAGGGCCACAATGCCTTGCATTATCTACTGGTGCCATGGTTATTCTGTGGTATCTCTACACCTCAGTCTCCTGATCTCTGTAGAGTTACTGTGAAGATTAAAGGCACTAATTCATCTAAAACCCAAGAACACAGTGTAGTATAGAGCAAGTGCTATTCAATATCAGTCACTGCTGTTCTCACCCCTATTTCCTTAGGATAACAGTAAACCATAAGTAAATATCCTACTCATGAGCTGAAGCCAAAGCTTGGCATGCTGCACATTCTGGAACACAATTGGTGTGGAGCAACTGCAGGAAAACACTGACACAAACAAAATGGTCAGTGTTAAACACACTAGCTCATGGTTAAAATTGGCTGTCCACCTGCTTCTTTAGCCTGCCCTGTCTGGCTGTCGGTGATTATCAATGACTCACTGCAGAATGTCTGGGGTCACCTGACTTGGCTCAAGTTTCAAACTGTGCACAAGGGGCTAGGGTTGTAGCTCAGTAGTAAAACCCTCACCTAGCATGCAAGGAGCCCTAGGTTCAACCCCCCAATATCAAAACAAAACCAATCTCTCCTGCCTCCACAAAACGTATGTACGGGCTTTCACTTGGGAAGTGTTCAGTTACACTTTGTAGAAAAGAAAACACACTGAATGTTCATTTCTGGCTGCACATGGACATTTTTCTCCAGATTCTGAGGGCAAGGCTTCCTCTGCCCTCTTCTACTACCTGTGGTCACCGCCTAACTTTCCCCTAGCTCTCAGTTCCGTGTCAGGGCACATCACTTACTGTGAGGTCTGTCTTCTCTGCCAGGCAATGGTATAGAACATAGAGAGAGAGAAACTGGGTGGAGGGCATTTCAAAGGCTTCTTGCATCATGATCTCAAAAACCACAGATAAAGCATCTGGCAAGAAGATGAAGAGATGAAATTAGTTGTAGGTAACATCATCGAATCTCTAATACACTCTTTCAAAGTGCAGCACAGTGACAAAATAAGCAGAATCAAGATCTAGGAAACATGGGCTTTGGTCCAAGTTTTTCTACGAAGCAGGTCCTTTCCAAGCCATTCATACCTACGACACACACTGTGCACACACTGCACCAGGGGCTCTTGCATCAGTGACTTCAAACATGCACCAAAGCACTGAACGTCTTTGGCTCCCAGTAAGTAGCACCTTCATAATTATCAAATACTGCCTGCTCTGTTTACTTCAACAAGATCATGCCTCACACAATGTCCATCAGCCAGAAGAGCTAAGGCATGGGGAAAGAGGCACGTCACTGTCATGGTCACCCTGACAAGCAAGGAGGCTGTCTACTTCTATCTCTGTTACGATGCTTTCTAGCTGTTGAGGCAAAAACAAGACAAAGGCTAGAGGAACTCCCAAACCCTGGGAATTTGTCCAAAGACAGAAACAGGGATAATAAAGATCAGTTTAAAAGAACTGAAAGAAGGCAGAGAAAAATGTTTCTTCATAAATTATAAGCCCCTAAGTATAACATACAGCATATGTTATTTATTTCTACATGAAAGCTAGTCATACAAGAACAGGCCCCCAGATGATTCCTATTTTCCCATATATTCTATAACATAGACAAAAGCTAAGAAAACTAAGTTCAAACAATTGCTTTCCTCAGTAATTTGTGGCCCAGGTAGAGAATGTTAATGCTGACGTTGAAACATAATGCTTGCACATGTCACAAGCCCAACAGATGTTGTCAACTGCGTGCATGTGCTCCTCTGCTCACTTTGCACACACTTGTAATCACAGAAGAGTTAGCATGATGTGCAGCTGTCCCTGGCTAGCTGCTTTTGCAAATGCTGCGATGGTTTTATGGGAGGCTAAGAGTCTTCAATTTCTTGCCCTTTTTGCAAATGGGGAAACTGAGATAGACAGACCAATAAAGCATCTACTAAATCTAGCAAAATAAGGCCCTGGAAGAAATTTTTCTTTTCTTATTTGAGACTTGGTCTCATTATGTATCATTTGTGAGTCTGAAACTCTCTAGACAGACAGGCTGGACTTGAACTCAGAGATGGGCCTGCCTCTGCTCTCCGAGTGCTAGGATTAAAGGCGTGCGCCACCAGGCTGGGTGAGATTTTCTTTTAAATAATCACATCAATATTTTCACAGAACAAAAGAATTAAAGCCTATTTTGTTAAGATTTATTTATTTTTAACTTCATGAGTATGGGTGTTGTCTGAATGTGTGTCTGTGCAATATACGTGCAGTGCCTGAGATGGCAAGAAGAGGGCATCAGATCCTCTAGCAGAGAGAGAGAGAGAGAGAGAGAGAGAGAGAGAGAGAGAGAGAGAGAGAGAGAGAGAGAGAGAGAGAGAGAGAGAGAGAGAGGTTGGCTGCCATGTGGGTGCTGGGAACTGAACTATGTATGTCCTGTTCAAGAGCAATCAGAGCTCTGACACTGTAGTTCTAAGTCCCCACTCTTTTTCCTCCTGAGATCACATATTTATTATTTTTATCACGTTACTATCTTACTTACTATTTATTTCACGCAAGTGTGGAGTCAGAGGACAACTTTCTGGAGTCCGTTCTCCCTTCCACTGTGTGGGCTCCAGACATCTAGCTTAGGTCTTGGCAGCAGGAGCCATTACCCACTAGGCCATTTCACTGGCCTTTTTCTACTTGCAAACCTAATTTTGTCAACTGTTCATTACAGATTCCAAAATTACACATGAAAACTAAATCAATTTTTACTTTATTCTTTATATTCTGCATTTCAATCAGCTTGGGACATGGAATCAGATTGGTTTGTACAATTAACGTTTCCTCTATAATCACTTTTCCTTACCCCAGCAATAAAAGGGTGATACTTGAAGTTTTTTGAATAATGATAATAATCTTCATGCAAACTTTTCTGACTAAAAGAGCAATAGGAAGAGATGTAATTAAGAATTAAGAAGGAGGAAGCTGTCTGCATTTGTGCACTTCCATTTGGGAGCTGAAAGCCCTGTATTAAATGAATGGTGATCTGGTTTCTTACCTTTGTAATTTTCTTTCTTTATGAAAGAATCCATCAGTAAATTGAATGTAAAGTTATCTGGAAAAATTCCATACTGAACCTGTATAAAAATGAAAATGGAGAAAGAAAAAAAATCCTCTAATTCAGTCTGTAATATATGCCCACATATTATTCAGGACGAAACCTGGCCCCATTTGAGTTAAACCATGTGACTACCATTCTGCAGCATCTGTGACAGTGAAACTGAAGCTGTGACTCACGAGGTTTGGTAATTGGAACTGGTGGTCAGGGTGAGAAAGTTGTGAGTGAATGTCTCACAGATGACAACTGACAGGTGAAAATAGGGCTCAGTTCTAACACCTTGTCATAGCTAAAAACAGCAGCAGCAGCAGCAGCAACAAGAGCCCATCCCCTTCCTCCACACATAGCTGGTCCAGTAAATGAAAATGCAAAAATAGATCATAAGAAAAATCACGAATATACAGCATATATTCTGGCTCAGGCTTCTAAATGCCCAAGAAATGATGCCAATGCTTTGTTATGAATCAAGCCCCTTGGGTTCTGTTTACCTGCATATTTAAGATGTCAGAATTTAGGAGTCATATTTTAGGAATGAATAAAGATGCTTCAGGGTCTGCCTCAGGCTTTGGCAGGAGCATATTAATGATTCAACTCTCGAAGCATCAGGCCCATAGCATCAGATCTGGGATGGCACCCTGAAGTTTTAGCAGGCTTCTATGATTTTCATATACACTTGAGCCTGACTGATTTCCTACTGCCTAGACCATGGTTACAGCTTCACCCTCAATTCTTACTTCAATAGGATTAACGTCCTTGTTCCACAGCATCACCAACCAACAGAAACACCTGGGGAACCTCTCCTGTGAATCACCCACACTGACTCATGACAGCACACAGGATGCCTCAGGTGGGTTGAAGTCAACACCCCCAGGAAGGCTGCAGCTCAGGGGCGGGGCCTGTGATTCTCAGAGAACTCACCCCCATTAGCATGAATCCAATCCAAAACATTCTAGAATGGGAACTGATTAGAGCTAGAAAGGACCTTTGAAATTAACTGGTTCAGGCTGAGTGTGGTGCCAAACACCTATTAATTCCTCAGAAGGCTGAGGCAGAACTGAGGTGGGATCTAGGGCAATTTGGGCTAGTAAGATCCAATCTGGGGTACAGGGTAAAGTTTGTAGAACAAAGAAAAAGAAGTTAGCCAGTCAGTTTAGGATTCTTAACCTTGACCATGGATCAAGTGAAGCCTAAAATAAAAGTCCCTAAGAGGGATGAAAAGGCAGATCACAGTGTCTACTTCTGCTAGACTCATGGCATTTCATCCACACCCACATCAAGAACACAACACTATAAGTGCATTAGAAAGGAGCCAGCAGACGTACCATTCCAGGAGCAGGATGCTGGTTAGGGAAGGCTTGTGTGTGCTGGGACATGTGTGAGAATGCCTGTGCTTTCCACTCAGTGATGTGTTGAACCCCAAATGCCTAGGCCCAGAAAGACCAAGTACATTAGAATATTAGGGGTAAATACAAGTATTTATAATGATGTGTGTGTGTGTGTGTGTGTGTGTGTGTGTGTGTGTGTGTGTGTGTTCGTGGTCACCCAAGCACACACATAGGCATGGGCTGCTCTGCTCAATTTCTTCTGTGGGTGCTAGGATTCCAAACTCCAAACATGCTCCTGTAGTACACACAGACTCAGCTGTCTCTCCACATGGAAGCATCCGTCAATCTAAAATCCTTGGGTGACTCCAGTGGGCAGCTCAGGTTGTCAATCACTGATAATACAACTCACTCAGGTTGGAGTTAAGAAAACCAGGACCAGTAGGCTGATGTTCCAGGCAACGACAGAACCTAAGGGTTTACAGGCTGGGTCTTCTGACCCCTCACCCAATGACTTCTCTTCTTAAAGGCCTGGAAGCAACAGAAACGAGACTCTTTGCTCTACTTTTCTTGCCCTTTCTGGATCTGTTTCCACAGGGATCTTCAACTCTGAGCATAATTTCTGGGATGAAGACAACAAGATTTCATCTCTTCCTTCCCCCAGGCCCATCCTTTCTTTGTCCAGACTGAAGGTCTGAACCTTGACTGTGCTAGATCTAGTTCAGCCTCTCTCTCACTCAGTCCCCCTCAAAATATACCATCGCTGCAGGTAAAAGGCCACACATGCTGCTCCGTGTGCACTTTTGAAGACAGCTTACATGGTACTCCTACCCTCAACTTGTCCCTTCCAGCTGGACTCCATCTTCTGAATTCCTCTTGTGTGACACTGAGAATCCTCTAATGTGAGGTTTGCCGATGAGAGGGGATATCTGCTTTATTTCCACAAGGCAAGGAAGAGAGTAATACTGTTCATTTCTGTCTCCATCATCACTTCCCCATCGCACACAAATAACATGTAGGGCAAATATATGTTGATTTGACTTGAGCCTAAGTTACTGATGAAAATCATTTTTCACAGAGAGGAAGGAGTCAAAGATAAAAATCAGTATTCCATTTTAACTCCAATTTTCAAGGTCCAGTAACATTATGAAAATATATTTTCATAAAAGTATTGTTAAATAATATTGCTAAATATTTTCTTTAACAGTCCTGGCTGCCTTGGAACTCGGATTTGTAGACCAGGCTGGCTTTGAACTCACAGAGATCCGCCTGCCTCTGCCTCCTGAGTGCTAGGATTAAAGGTGTGCGCCACCACTGCCAGGCTTAAAACTTCATGGTTTGTTTTCTATTTAAAGTTAATAATTTATCTTTATTTTTTGTGCATTGTTGTTTTGCCTACATGTATGTCTACACAAGGGTACAAATCCCTGGATCTGGAGTTACAGACAGTTGTGATCTACCATTTTGGTGCTGGGAATTGAACCTGAGTCCTCTGAAGAACAGCCAGTGCTCTTAACCACTAAGGTATCTCTCCAGCCCTGTTATAATTCTTTAAGCAGTCAATGAAGACTGAAGTGCTGGGTGGAGTGTAACATCAGAAAAACCTTACTTCTGGGAACTCTGGGGCTTGTGGGAAGGAAGAGCCATGAAGCTTAGGAGAAAGGACGAATTATTACCCAGGAATACCATAGTCTAAAAACAGTGTAATATGGTCTGACAAATTATTATCCAGGAATACCATAGTCTAAAAAAAGTCTGAACAAGCTTGAGATTACACTCCATTAAAAATGCTCACCATGTACCCAAGTTTATAAAAGGGAAGCAGGCAAGAAATCCAAGGCTTGAGGATGAAAACGAGTGACCACCAGTGCAGAGTTCTGACTGGACTACATCTCACTCTCACCTGCCCTTCCCTGACCACTGTTCGGAAAAAAGGCAGAGACAGGAGCTTTGCGTTTTTAGTTTGTCGATTGTTTATAACAGCTGTAGTCTGAAAAGAGAATGATAAGGAATCTGAGGAGACCACTAAGAGAGTGGCTTCTGGTGCTTCTCTTTGCTACCTCTGAGGTACAAACAGCAGGTCACATACACCCGGGAAGCTCGGCAGCGCACCTTACCTTATTCACAAGGGTGTACAAGGCTTTGTCCTGTGCGCCATACTTCAGACACTGTCTAATCCAGCTGTGGATGGTCCAGTCTCTCAGGTACCAGCAGTTGGGACTGTGCCGAAACCTAATAAAACACAAGAGGCAGTACTGGTGTTATCTCTTATTATTTAAACCCAAGCATCTTCCGTCAGCAGGTCCTTCTCATGAAATAGCATTGGGTACAGTCAATGTGCTCAGAAGTCATGAGAGTTGACAACTAATAAAAAGTTGACATTGAAACTCTTAACTATAATTCTGAAATGGAAAGAGAAGTCAAAATCATAAAAAATGTAAACCTATTCATTTATTTGTTTTAAGATATGGTCTCTATGTAGTCCTGGCTGGCCTCACAGATCTGCGTCTACCTCCTAAGTGCTGTGATAAAAGGTGTGTGTTACTACACTCAGATTTATTATTTATTTAATACCCTTGCCTCAACTTCTTGCTTTAATATGAAATTAATATGGAAATATTAATCACAACATTATGCAAATCCATAGCTCACGAGAAGGGATGTGTGAAACTGAAGTTGATACTTTGAAAATGAAGTAAAACAGGCGAAGAAAACCAGAACAGCACAGAACTCTGTGGGAAATCAGCTTTGAGTGGCAGCAGTATTTCTTGTATATTCAGGAACAACCAAGACAACACATAAACAGGCTGAACAAGATCTCACATTCAGGTCCTTCAGGAGCCACAGCCCTACTGCCTTCTTGATAGCCCCACTGGAGCCCCTCAGTCCAGTCCCTCTTCGTTCCACAGCAGCCCTCATGGACCTATGTTATAGGCAGACTGAAATGGAGTCACTGGGAGGAATGGCTCCTGGATAGCTCTGGCCTGAGTCCTCACACATGGCTAGTACCTGGGCTGGACAGTACTTCCCTCACCGCCCCAAGGCTGCAGAGGAGGTTGCACTATCTGGGAATATCTAAACGTTTATCTGTTTTCACTAGGGCAGAATTTCATACATCCTATTCAGACAACAGAAATCCCCGCATTTTCTTTAGCCACTCAGAAAGCAAGCTCGTCTCTGGGCCCCACAAAGGTTAAACTCTTGCAAAACAACAACAACAACAACAACAACAGAAATAGGATACCGAGGAGACAGAAACTTGGAGGTACAGACCTTAAGAGCTATGGGCACATACTAATACTGTTTCAGAAGTGATTCTTCAGTGTGCCACCAGCTAGGTCCAGCCATGTGACTTTGGGTTTGTTTCCTTTCTCTGAGTAACAAAGGAAAAGCTTTGGAGGAGGGACAGGATAGTGTTTAATTTGGGTTGCTAGTGTTCTGGGGGAGAGACATGCCAAAAATAAATCTGAAAATGTTTTACAGGCGTGGAGTCATGCTGCTGTCTTCAACATCCTTTCTTGAGACTTTGAGACAGGGAGGGTCTTGTCATGTAGTACAGGCTAGCCTTGAGCTCATGACTGCTGCCTCTGCCTCTTGAGTGTGAAAGTCATGTACTATCACAGTTACACACTCAGTTTGCTTCATCTGTCTGTCTGTTTATCTTAGATTTGGCATGAAAATGTTTCTTTGTAAAATTAGCTCTTTTAAAACTAGAAACACAAACACACACACACACACACTTTACACAATCCTTTGTATAGAGATAAAACATACATTTTAGTATTCCACATGTTCCCTCACATTTTCAAATCAACAGTTAAGCTACTTGAGACCCTCCCCTTGTTACTCTGGAAAACACTGAGATTTAAAATGTAGTCAATTAATAGTCACTTTTATTTTTATTTAATTTTATGGGTACTGAGGATTGAATCAAGGACAGTATACATGCTAGGTAAAACAGCAGACGTGTTTCTCAATGACGATCACGTTCCCACTTTGGTAAAAACTCATGTGGTACCCGGGACCCACTTATTCCATATGATTCCTTGGTGCCTGGCACTTTTTAGCCCACACAGGTTTTCAGAGAATAAAGCAGAGCTTCAATGAAGACATTTAAATGCTATATAATTACGTACACCATTATACTGATAGCACCTATTATTGTACATATGAAGAATGGTGACTCCTTTGCCTGGGGCATTATAGCCTCATTACATGCACCTCTAATAATAAAGGAGGGCATAAACCCAAAGGCATTGCTAGGTGCAGGGTTTGTGGCTTTGGTGGTTTAGTCTATTTCTCATTTTAAAACAGATAAAAAATGCCAACCATCTCTTCTAGCCAGGAGCACTTTAAACCTAATCTCCATTTTAATCTCCTGCCTTAGAATGTCTTGGATGGCTAGATGTTATAGTTTTTTGGCTGTTGACAGACTTTAAACCACATTGGTGGCTACATTCGTGAACACATTCAAGCACCTTTTTTCTTATTCATGATCAGCAAGCAATTTTGAGACTTTGATGATTGACAGTGAGACCCTAGCTATGGACCCTTATAGCTTAAATTAACATTTATTTCAAGCTGTTTGCTAACAGGAGGTCAGGCCAGTGAGACCTCTGGACTGTAAGGTCTAACAGTTCATATGCATCACAAATGTCTAGGACATGTTTTTCCCCCAAGATAGGGTTTCTCTGTATAGCTTTGGAGCCTGTCCTGGAACTCATTCTGTAGACCTGGCTGACCTTGAACTCACAAAGATACATCTACCTCTGCCTTGTTCAGGATACTTTTAGTGTATAATTTCTAGGCTAAAAAAGAACGAAGTCTGAATAGTATGAGAGAAATTCCTCAGCGAATTTCACAAGCAGCTTGGTGGGAATCCTTGCTAGGGGCAGGTCAGGCTCTGGAATGGGCCTCACCTGGATGACGCTATGACTACTGCCCAGCACAACAGTCAGGAAGGGCACAGAAGACACAAACCAATACACTGATTTCCAAACGGCCTGTAGGTAGGCTGACCTGTGCTCTCCTCTGCTCCAGACTGGCGGTTACAGAGGCCACTATAGGATACACTTCTCACCTGGTGCCATCAGCTGGGGACACATCTCAACAGAACCTTTACTATAGCCGAAGCCTGCTGCCAAGACTGGAAAACTGTGTGAGTATATAAAAGATGAAGAAATGAAACTCAGCTAACACCAACAAGACAGTTCGCAGCTCAGTTCTGCGGACATCTATTTCTTAGAGAAAGGGGGAATGGATATAAAAGGGGATGGAAGAAGTGTGCTGTCACGTTTCCATTCTGGCTCTAAAGCTGGTACTCATGGCAGAATAGATTTCCATTCCCAGTGCTAACTGGGGTTTCCGAGCTTTCTAGAAGCCCAAACCATGATTGAGCCAATAGCAAGACCTGAGAAGATTACAGTTCTCTCACCAGGCCTAGTCTGGAAGTGCTCAGGACATTCCCCCACTTCAGTGCGCACTAAAGGGGACAGCACCAAGAAGGCAGCAGAGTGGAGTCACAGTTTGTCAAACAGACCTGGATCCAAAGCCACCTCAGACTTCTTAGAAGGTAAGAGAAGTCATTTAAAAGAGGCTGAGAGTAAACGGGAAACCACCAAAGAGACTCTGTACCTATTCACGTGTTGAGTCATTTTATCAAAAACATAAGAACACTGGGCTATGGTTGTTCTTCACGGGAGTCAAATGCACACCTCATTATTGCTGAAGGACAGAAGTGGCGACACTCGCCAACCAGTACTTAGGATCACAACTACAAATGCTGCAGGCCTCAAGCACAATGGCAGGGCCTAGCCACACTGCAGCCCTCTCACTTAGATACAGCACAGGCTCTTGCACACGAATGAACAAGCTTTCCACATGGTTTCCCTGATTATATGAGCCACCAGCCAAGCCTAACCATACACATAGAATTCTCTCTTTCCCAGTGGATTCTGTATCCTGTGGCAACAGGCTTTCCAGATGGGAACCTCAGCCTCTAAATGAGAAGGGCATGGAGGAGGGGCAGGAGAGAATGCAGCTGCTCCCATGGTTGTCCTGTGGAGTGTGAGTCAAACCCATGCTGTCAAGTTTGCAATTATCAACAGGGTCAAGCGTTCCTCCCACCAAAAAGCAGGAGAGTATCGTGTGACTAACCCAGACTCTGATTCCCTTGTTGCTGCCCACTTTGTCATCCTAAAAAGGTAATTAGAAAGATAGTTCTGCTTTCAGAATTATTCATTTCAGAACTCATGATCTTCAACTCCTTCAAATTATCACAAATACAAAATGAAAATATCACTATCACAGATTAAAATCTCTTTGCTGCTCGAGACCCTATATTTTTATTATTAAAGAAGTCAGTTAATTTTAACTTTCAATAAACATACACTAACCTTCTATTAAATAAATATGTCATTTTTAAAAAGAGCCTGGATCTGAACACCCACAATTTACTAGCTACCCCAGTGGAGAGGAAATGCCTTTGATTAAATGTCTAGGTAGTTTGTGAGTTGGGTTTACAGAGTTGTGATGTTCAAATCCCAAAGTTCCAATCTTTCAGTTTTACCAATGCACATTTTACAGATAGCAGCTGCACAACCACCGCCCCACAATAAAGACACAAGGAGAGTTCGTCACCCCAGAAGTCCCTCATGTTCTCTTAGCAGTCAACTTCACAGGACTTTCTGGTCATTGCAAGACTTTTATACAGATTGTTTCCTTGGGTCTCCTTCCAGAACCAGAAGTAGTACTTTATAAGAAGATTCTCAAAAGCTAGGTGTAGTGGCACGTGCCTTTAATCCCAGTGCCCGAGAGACAGAGGCAGGGGGATGCCTGTGACTGCAAGGCCAACCTGATCTACAGAGTGAGTTCCAGGACAGCCAGAGCAACATAGAAAGACCCTGTCTCAAACAAACAAACAGGAACCAAATTTGCATCTGTTGGTTGGTTTATAATTTGTATTCTGTCAGTTTCCATAAGGAACTTGAAAAAAAATTACAATGCAGTTTGGAAGCAGCATCCTGCATGCTCCACAGTGTCTAGTCCCCAGGCATTTCGTTGGACAGCCTGAAAGAGGACAAGCAAGGGGGCTTTTGGTAGAATAACACAGGTAGAGAATTTTACAATATGCAGCGTTAAACTAATGCAGCATACTAACACAATTTTTTAAAATGAAGACACATGCCAGAGGGACTTCTTAGCTATCAAAGTCTGCATTTGTTAGACCCAAA